TCTTCGACAGCGCGCGCGCGAAAGAAAGCGAGGCTCGCGCTGCAAGTTTCGCACTCGTTCCTGCTGGTATGAAGAGAAGCAGTCCAGATGCTAGCTCGATGAATTGCCGGCCGCGATGGCGGCTAGGGTACAATAAGGTGCATATCGATACCTGCCGAAGCCGCAAACATCTCGGCAGCAAGCAAGAGAAGCTTGTTCGAGATAAAGGGGTCCGTGTTGTTACGATCCTGCATTGTCAAGCGTTTGACGGCATGAGGGCGCCAGACAGAGAGGGTGCAAGCGCGGCTGTTGATGGGACGCTGAATGGTGTGCAGTCGATCGCCTCGTTTGCCCCCCTTCGCTTAACGTCGAACTGCAGCAGACCCGCATTTGGCAGAACAGGTGGGTGAAACGTCGCTGCTTGTTCTTCTTTCTTTCCTATTTCGTGCTTTCTCGCTTGTCCGCCTCTGACCGCCGCGCCCAACGCTGCTTGCTGCTTGCTTTGGTTTTGTGGGCGCACTGTCTCTCGCCTTGCACCTTGATTCGTGATGATCCGCGGATTGACCTCGCTTAGCAAGCGCGATTCTACAGATGTGTGTCGCCTCTTCTTCGATCGTGTGATGCTTCTGCTACCGTCACACGGCTTGATGGCCAGTGTGATCGCGCCCTGCTCTTCGCGTTCGTCTGTTCACGCGAAATCTTGTCTGAACCTGTCACTTCCAGCCTTGTTCGAACTTCTGCAGTCGTGACCCTGCTTCCTCTTTCCGTTCAGTCGCCGTGATCTTGCTTCATCACCGTCACCTCCCGAATCATCACAACCCGCTCAGCCCACACTCATACATCACTCGCTTTGAACGCAGCTATTCAATCACCGCCACTCTCCTGAGATCAGCCAGCTTTTCCTTACGCCCAGGTGTGCCTCTCGTAGCTCGAAGACATTCCAGGATGGCCATAGATTGGATGGAAAACTCTCGTTAGTGACAGACCTCGAAGGAGGTAGAAGAACCTCTAGACTTCACGCCGTATTGCCTGGAACCCTGCTTCATCTGGCAGCAATCTCGCAGGCTACCGAACACAGAAGCTGCACTTCATTACTCTTCCCTGCCCCGTCACCTCGACGCTGGCTCGCCTTATCGGACCTACGCCGACTCATCCGAAGGCACCTAGCCTCTCCTCCAAGCTGCCGTTGCGCATTCTTGCAAACGTTGCACTGAAGAACGGCCATGTTTTCGCAGTGGAGGAGTAAGCGCCACTTTCCTATGGACGCTAGTCCCTCGGTCATTCCGAAAAGCTCTTCACAACCCACCTCGCCGCTCGACTCAACTTTCCCCCGCACCGACACGATTGCAGGCATGGCACGCCAGCAGTCCTTCCAGGGAAGACCGACGGGCGTCAAAGGCTTCAGCAAGGTCGTCATCGGTAAAGGCGGCATCCTCAGACCATCCACTCGAGACGGCTCAGCCGGAACACCATCACCAATGAGCTTCGCCGCTGGTCCTCGAGCCTCGAACAGAGCCAGCAACGCTCTCGAATTCGGCGGCGGTGTCGTGCCAGACGACTCGGACTCGGACGCGGATCTGTCCGATTCTTCCATGTCACCCGTCACCCCTCAATACTTGACGAACACAAGTCGAAAGCAACCCGAAACCAGCACAGCTGCAGTAAGCAGTGTCGAGAACGCCGCCTTCTTGTCGAACTCTCAAGCTCACGATGCTCGCCAGAAGAGCATTGTTGCCCACGCTCGCCTCGGTTCAATCGACTTGGCAGGTGGCTTTGAAGACTTTCGCTCCTTGATCGCCTTCCCATCCTCTCCCAACTTGCTAAAAGAAAGCCCGGCTCTGACTGCTTCACCGACCTTGTCCACTCCCGACTTTGCCGCAACTGTGGCTTCTACTTCCAACACCGACAAAGCTACTATCCCCTATTCCCTTGCAGAGAAGCCTCAGCCACCGATTCCGACGTCATCGCTATCCACTGCTAAGCCCCGACTGCTATCGTCCGCCGACATCGCCACGACAAACATCATCAAAGCGGTGCGCACGCCGTCCAAAAAGGCGTCGCACAAGACCCATCAGATTAGCGCAGAAGAGTTCGCCGCTGTTGGGCGTTCGCTGGACAGTGCACGCCGCACTTCCAATGCTTCGAGTGTTCCCGAGTCCGTTTCCCAATGTGGTTCCTCACAACTTGCATGCGAGGAGTTCCGACCGCCTGCTCGGGACGCGGCAGCCACAGGCTCGATGCGCAGTCTTGAAGGCGGCGAAACAAGAGACTCCGAGACCACTCCAACCTGGGGTCTAGGCATCAGCAGCGTTGGAGAGCAGGGTCCAGCCGCCCCCTCGTCAACCGACCGCGTCACTCACGCTGCGCTGCGCCGCAGCAACAGCACGCACAGGCACATCAGGACGGGCAGCGAGCTGTCTGGACATAGTTCTGCCGACAGCTGGGGGCGCGGCCCGCCTGCTCGCGATAGCTTCCGAATGTTTTTCGATGCCGACAAGATCGGAGACCTGCACAAGACAGCCTCTTCATCTTCGAGCAAGACGCAAAGGACCTACGTCAGCGATAGCGGTCATAGCACGGCAACCGCAGAGACAAGCACCGACATGCACGACCTCGACCAGTTGTCCCCGATCAAGGAGCGCACGGAGTCGCCAGAATCTACTCGCCATCGGCGCAAGCCGTCAAACAGCGGCTCGGATCGTTCATCACAAGCAGCATCCTTTGGTATGCGTAATACCGGAACTTTGGCAGCATCTGCGGTATCTGGCCGTTCTCCGATTGCGTCACCACAACCGTCCCAAGCTAGGGTGCGCGACCGTCTTCCCAGTCTCAGTGAAGCCCGAGAGGCCGGCAAGACACACGAGCGGAGCGGTGCACATTCGCCGTTGCAATCCGCAATAAATGATCTGGAATCGCCGCGTTCCTTCTCCCACAGAACAAGTTCAACGCGATCCGCCACCCTTGACGGTCTGCTGCCGCCGTTGGAGCTGGACAGCCCTCTTCTCAAGGCGCACACAAGGAGCGCATCAAATTCTTCCTGGACCTATGCTCGCAAGTTCTCGTCCCAGCAATACGCCGTCAACGAGTCTCGACGAGGTTCGGCGGATGCCGTTTCCCCGACAAACACCTCTCGGCTTCCTTCAGGAATTTACACTACTCCTCTGCCATCAGCTCCGTTCCCACCCGCCAAAGCTCAAGCGTCCGTACCCACCACGCCCAACCTTGCCTATGACGCAGCGCTGTCCAAGGCGACAGGCAAGCAGAGAAAGAATCGACCAGCGGCGTTAGCGCTCGACCACGCAGCATTGTCCGCATTTGCACCAAATGGCGCGGGCCCGTCACCCACCAATATCAACTTCAAGGGTCTCGCCAGTCCTGGTCGGCTGCGTGCTCCCCCGCCCTCGGCTCCGCCTTGTGAGCCGCTCCCGCCAATCCCAAACACGCCGTCGCTCGTACCAAAGAGCCCCGGCCTTCGATTGCGAACTGGATCGTGGGCCACGCCTCTTGCTAGTGAACCTGCTGACGCTGTAGACGCCACGCTTTCACTTGTCACCCCAACCCAAACACGCTCTTCCTCCTTCAGCAGGGAGGCGCAGATGCAAGAATATCCCTCAAAAGCGAGAAAGCCGTCAGATCTTAGCTTGCTGAGCTCACGGGCTGGCGCGCAGCCACCATTGGTCTCGGAGAGTGCAACGCAATCTGACTCGGCGGCTCCGATCAAGAATAAGGCTCACGACGCTGACCGACACCGTTTGGCCGTCACATCAGCAGCAGGTAAAGGCTCGATCCGCTCACCGACTGTCGCGTCCACAGACGAGGGATTGGACAGCATCGCGACCGTGACAGTGGCCCAAACAGCCACTCGAGCTTCCTCGCAGCCTATGCGCTGGTCGAGCAACAAGAAGGGCACCAACGCACCAGAGACGAATAAGAGTGCTGCGCCTCTTGTCGTGGCCATCGAGCATGCCGACGGTCAAATTGTCTCGCCCGTTATCAAGCCGATTGACCTGCAGGAAGCTGGTCAGGTGAACGCGGCCCACATAGACACGCAGACGCCTCCCTCATCTGCTGTTTTGAATCACGTTCTCGACCCTGACAACACGCCACAACTGGGCACAAGTCGACCTTCGCAGCCCGCGATTCATCGCGCTTCGGCCGCGGATAAGGCCGTCCGACCACCTCCATCTGCATGGAACAGTCGCAGCATCGCCTCAACAGCACTTCGGGACAGCGCCCCAAGCGAATCCAAGTCCTCTGATGTAGGTCACGACGGTTACGACGAATCACGAGCAGGCGCGGGGAGCGTCGCCAGCTGTCACTCCACCACGAGCAACATCAGCGATCGTCGTCATGAGATCTTGCAAGATAGGGAAGCGTTGCTCGGTGCGCTCAGCGAATCCTCGCGCAAAGAGATCATCAAACGCACCGAAGGACGTTTCGCTGGAGCTTTCGGTGAAGTCGCTCGAGCATTCCGCCAGCTGCAAGCGGACAAGGAGCAGCTGGAGCAGATGCTCCGCAAAAAGACGACGCTCGACGGGTCTGGAACAAACAAGGAGGTACAGAGCATTTCTGTGTCGACATTGACAGCCAAGCTCGACCACAGCAATGCCGAGATCCGCAAGCTGTTGGATCTGTTAGAGCAGCAGAGAGAAGTAATGGAGCAGATGATGGCAACGCACCAACTGCAGCGCGAGACGTACGACGAGGATCTGAGCCATCTTAACCAGGCGTTGGACGAGGCACAGGACGAAGCGGAACATCATCGAGCTCAGGTGGTCAAGTTGAACGCAGAGCTCGCGAAAGCGCATGCGAGCATGGTCCAAGCCAATGCTGAGGCGATGCGGGCCAGAGCATCATTGGCAGAGGAAAGCAGAAAGCGGGAGAATGCGGTGGCGCTGCTCAGGCAGGCCAAGGAGAGACTGAAGGAGGTCGAAACGGAGCAGCAGCAGCAGAGCCAGCAAAGGTTCAGACAAGATTCTGAAGGCGTCGAAAGCCTATCTGACGACAGTCCTCGGGTATCGACTCTGCTCCGAGACCCATCGGACACTCACCCTCCCAGCTCGTCAGAAAGCGAAGTTGCGCAACTGCGTCGAATGCTGGCAGAGCGCGATGCCGAGATCTCCTCTCTGCGTCTCTCGCACACCGACTCGCTCTTGCAAAACCACCAGCTTGCAGACGACTCTCACTCCACCTCGCACGGCTCTGCGCTGCACGACGATCCCTCTGAACAAGTCGACCGCCTCCGCACGCAGCTTCTGGAGCAACGCGAACGCGAAAGACACATCCGAAGCGCCTACCTCCACGTCCGGGACGAGCTGCGCAAAGTGAACGACGAACGACGTCGTTCGTCTACAGCTTCGCTAGGCACTCCAACGAGCGCCAGCGGAGTCGCCGCAATGGATGGCCCGTCGTCGATCGCAAGAGCTTCGTGGAATGCCGCCGCGCGACCCACGACGAGTGCAGCGGCGGCAATGGGCGCACGGTACCAGGCTTTCATGGCGGGTGCAGGCGAGGAGGTTGGTGGGGAGGAACCCAGATCAGCCGTGCAATTCAAGAGGTTGAGTCTGCCGATCGTAGCGAGAGCTTCGGGGATCGTCGTCGCTGCAGGTACGGCGGGGGGATCAGATGCGGGCCACGAGGAGCACGACAGGTGGACAAAAAGACGGCTTCTCACAGAGGATCGCAGTTAAAGTACGAAACATTCCTTTATACACATTCACACTCTGCATAGCAACTCGAAAGCCCACTCCTTCCCTTACCTTACCTTATCAACCATCCGACGGATCCGCTCATCTTTCTCATCGTCTTGCTGCATCTCACTCAATCATACGTTCATTCACTTTCTCAAATCGTCACCGTCCTTGGGAAAAACTTCAGAACAGCACAAGGACACGGCCGTCGTGGCAACGGGCTTGACTGTCGTGCGTCTCTTTTGTGTGTGTGGTGTGCTTTGCGTTGTTGAGACGTGCGCTTCTAAGGTCGATGAGAGAGGATGTGCAGTGGGTTGAAGGATGTTTGTGGAAGTGTACATGCGAGCCTGAGGGTTGAAATGGCAGGGAAGGGGGGGG